GCACGGGAAAGCAGCTGGCGGAGGGGGTGACGCTGGGGCGGAGGTGGACGCTGGCCTCGGCTGATGGGTGGGACACGCGGGTGAGCTCAGCAGAGGGTGAATCAGGTGTGTGGGGTGAATCAGGGTGCCGAACCCCCGCTTTGCCATGCCACGGGGCGTGACGCAGCCGGGGTGACCTGCTGGGTCACTGCCAGCCTGGAGCTGCCCCACGGTTGAGGCCAGGCACGCAGGGGAGAAGGGGACACCAGCAGATGCTGCAGAGGGGACATTCCCTGTGAGTCTAACGGTGCCGCCCCCATCCCCGCAGCACTACCTGAATGCGGACATCGTCACCTTCACGGAGGTCTCCAAGGACCCCAAGGGCATGGAGTGGCTCTGGAACCCGCAGATCGTGGGCATCTACAACCGGCTGCTGCAGCGCTGCGAGCTCAACAAGCACACGACGGAGGCGGCGTCGGGCGCCCTGCAGAACATCACCGCCGGGGACCGCAGGGTGAGGGCACGGGAGGGGAACGTCCCCAGGGGGCCCATCTTGCCCGGTTGTCCCCACCACCTGGCCAGTCAAAGCCGTGCCCGGGGATGGGACGCACCTCCCTGCGGGTTGGTACCGGCCTCTCCTGGGTGGGGGACGTGGCCATCACGCTCCTCGCCGCCTGGGCATGGGTCACCCCGACCCGGCGCCGTTGAGCAAGAGGAGGAGGAAGACGGGGAGGGAGGAGGAGGCAGCCGGAGGGTCCCCGGCGGCTGTCTCCAAGCGTGTGTTTGCCCCGGCAGTGGGCGGGCGTGCTGAGCCGGCTGGCCTTGGAGCAGGAGCGCATCCTGAACCCCGTGCTGGACCGCGTCCGCACCGCCGACCACCACCAGCTGCGCTCCCTGACGGGGCTCATCCGCAACCTGTCGCGCCATGCCCGCAACAAGGACGAGATGTGTGAGTGCCGGGGAGGGACGGGCAGGGCCAGGGCTGCCGGGAGGAGCCCGACGGACGCTCTCCACCCTTTTCCTCCTTGGTCTGGCCTCTAGTTACCTCCAGCCACGTCTCAGCACCTTCCTGCCCGCTGCATCCCTGCTCACAGCTGAACACGCGGTGGCTGGTCCATCCCCCCTCCCCAGTAACCAAACACCCCCACATGTGCTCTGCCTCCAACCCCACCACCTCACTTGGCTTTGTCCTCATCCCCCAATTCCTCTCCCAGGTGCCAAGGAGTCTCAGCAGGGACTCCAGAGAGCAAAGGGCTTGAAGATGTCCTTGGTGCTGTCCTGCAGGTTCTTGGCCGGACTCTTTGCCCCCCCCTCATTGCCCCCAGGAGGTTGCGGGGTTCATCCCCAGGCTGCCATGTGTCCCCTGGGTCTAGCCACCAGCCCTGATGTGATGCCTTTGCCCACCAGCGACCAAGGTGGTCAGCCACTTGATCGAGAAGCTGCCGGGGAGCATCGGGGACAAGGCGCCGCCCGCTGACGTCATCGTGAACATCATCGCGGTCCTCAACAACCTGGTGGTGGAGAGCCCTATGGCTGCGCGTGACATCGTCTACTTTGATGGCCTCAGGAAGCTCTTCTACATCAAGAAGAGAAGGGACAGGTGGGAGCTCCCTGTCTGCTCTGCTGTCCCAGCTCGGACCTGGGGTCCAGTCCTGCTCTCCCCTTCCTCCCCTGGTCCAACTCCCAGGTGTTGGTAGCCACCAAACCAGCTCAGAGTGGCCTCATGGCCACCTTCCAGCCCTTTGCCACCTCCCCAGGACACCCCACCACAGGGTTGCCCATTGCTGCAGCCACTTTCTTCCCATCCGGGTGCTTCTCACCTCTCCTGCCAGAAACACTTGCCACCCTGCCCATTGCGGTGGCTCCAGCCTTTGCTCTTCTGCCTCTTCCCACCGGTGCCAAGTGCTCAGCCCCTCTGGGCCCTTCTGGGGTGGTATCCTTGGGCTGATGGGCACCATCCCATGCCCAGCGGTACCCAAAGCTCAATGCCTCCTGTCTCTGTCCCAGCTCGGACAACGAGAAGTCGTCCAGAGCAGCAGCCAGCCTCCTGGGCAACATGTGGCAATATACCAAGCTCCACCGGGACTTCAAGATGGTACGTACCACCCCCTGGTGCCTCCTCCGGCCGGTGGGATGCTGGGATGGATCCCGAGGGTGGAGCCCAAGGGAGTCAAGCTTCACCCTGGAAAGCCACTCTGCCCAAATGCCTCCCGGCATAGGAGGGGCTCCAGCTCCACGCCTGCCCCTCCTAGAGGGGTGGCAATGTCTCCAGAGCGCTGTCCCTGTGGTGGCATCTGCACCAGCAGGGTGGGGACAGCCACATGCCCAATGTGGGGACAGCGTGGCCCTGCCAGGGCTGGAGCAGAGTGGGTTTGTGTTTGCGTTCCCACCGCTCAGCGAGGTGCAGGCAGGGGTGTCCCGGGGCAGGAGAGGTGACGGTGACAGCCTCCGTCCCCGCCGTGTGATGAGTGGCCTGTCTCCTTGCAGAAGGGGTACCGGAAGGAGGACTTCCTCAGCCTGTGAGGACAACCCCTGGGAACCGGACTGCCCAGCCCCGACTGTCCCCGCCGGGATGTTCCTTGCTGCCGGACGTGCCCTGGGCAAGCTGCTGGCCACCGGACCCCCGCTGCGTAGCGTAGTCCCCGCTGCGTCCCTCGTGCCTCCCCCCTCCGCCGGGTCCCCCTTCCCCGGGCGAGGGGACGCTTGTCCTCCCTCCTGCCGCAGCCTTAAACGCAGCGACTGCTTTTGGCTCTGCTGCGGGGCCCCGCTGGGACCCCGGTTACTGGGGGACTGCCCCATAGCACCCAGGGGTCCTCAGCCCCCGGGGACCCTTCCCGCTCCTGGGGAGCCGCCTGCCAAAGCTCAGCTTGTCTCGCGGCTCGGCGAAGGGTCAGGAGATGCAGGGCTTGGGAAGGCTCCTGCAGAGCAATGCTGGTGGGGAGGGGGGCTTCTGGGGGCACCCCATCCCAGCTCCCCGCAGTGCGGCACACGGGGTGCCGGGAGGGTGGCGGTGCGGGGCACGCGGTGGGTTACACACGCTCTGCCCTGGCTGGGTGGGGATGGGGCTTCGCATAGCTCGGGGGGGTTGTGGGACATCTGAGGTGGCTTCCCAAAGTTTTACGGGGGGGCACCGTGGCCG